ACCATTCAGTATTTCCTTTTTAGGTTTTAAAATTAGTCCATTTTTATGTGATGGCTTATGATGTTACGCACTGTACTAAATCTAATTATTTTTCACTATTTGTTCATCTGATGCTAAAAAAAATTTTTGAACTTTCCTTACCTTTTGGTTTTATTTTTTTTTATTTTTTATCTACCACATCTATCAACATGAACAGAAGGTGTTGTTTTATGTAACATTTGTTTGATTTTTCATGTGTTGTTCATTTTCGTCTTGATCACATATCTTAATTCTGTTGTGTTTGTGATCATTTCATTGACATTTGTTATATTAAGGTTATTTTGATTATATTGAGAGATATGGTCAAAAGAAGAGTTAGGAAGAGAGTTATTCTTCAACCAAGTTGAAAACCAACCCTTTAAATACATTTTCGAGTAGTACAATTATTTAATTTATTAGACCATTTCAATGGTTTGTCACATGGTTGCTTCTGACTTCTTAGATTCATTAATGAAATGATTGTTGGTGAAGTGATTGTTGACAAAATGAATAAAACCCATATCTACGTATTTCTACGTTATCAATGGGGATTTTTTTAGTTTTATGGGAAATTGGTAAAGCCAAAGTCAGTGGGCTAAAATTTTGTGTTCCCAGAACGGTCTCTCCTACTCACATCCTCAATTACAAAACTTGTTTCTTTTTTTGTGGTATTTTTGCAAATCATTCTTAATTTGCAAAGAGGTAATTGAAATAAATAACTTGCCAACAGATTAATCCATAAGATATCTCTATTAATTTTGACTAAAACACCCTTCCTTTCAAATGCTTTCCTTTGTAATGCAGAACTGTCCTGTTTCATTTTTATGTTTAGATGATACTAAAACAGAGGATCTCTAAATAAATAACCGCGCATATAAAATTAATGATGTTAGCCGTTTAAAAATCCTTAGCCGGCTAAGCCGTTTACTACCTAAATTGGTAATTTTGTTTCTATAACAAGAAAGTAATGCAGAAATCTATTACCAAATTTAGAAATTATGCATGCAGATTATTAGCCGGCTAACATCACTAATATAAAATATGGGGCATGCTGTAACAAAACCAGACAAAGTGAACATTGGTATTACCAAGAATTTCAGGAATCAAAATTTAGCTATTATCATCACAATTAGTTTTATAATGTCCCATTTATTAAGTAATATATAGAATTACCCCTATATAAAAATAATAATATGAAACTAATTTATCAGATCTACCATGGAACCCAAAAATTATAGCACCATTAGAAGTATTTTAAAAAAGGAACAAGGTGAAAAAATTGCTCCTTACATTTTTAAATTAGCAGATATCAAATCTTTGCAAACATATTTAGACAAAGAAAGGATTACTTATGAAATTTATAAAGAGGAAAGAGTTTTCAAAAGAGTATTAGAGAATTCTAGTAAAGAATCAAGAAAAAAAAGAAAACTGGCAGAATAAAAAACTAAAACAAATAATTACTTTTTTTTCAACTTTGTTAATTTTTAATTACCTTTTATTTTCAATCAAGGTCATTTTTTAGTTTCTTTAACTTCAATTTGAGCAGTTAGTTGAGTCTGCTGTCTCTTTAACTGTTCAACTTCACTTTCAAGTCTTTGAATTTTATCTAATAATTCCTGCTTTTGCTTATTATGCCAATCCTTTGAAACTTCTAAGGCTTCCAAATGAGAACTGATTTCTCCCTTAGCACTGGATAGTTGCTGTTTTAAGTCTTTATTCTGCTGTTCTAATCTGCCAACATAACTCTGTGCCATTATTTCTGTTATTGTTGGAGTTTAACTGGTTCACCTTTCCTTAAATCACAGAAGCAGTCTATTCTGTTTCTCATAATTCGACCACAATCATTACAGTGTGGTAAAGTATCATCATCAAGAGCTTTTTTACACTTGACACAGATATAAGCAATGTCATTGTAATCATTATTACTTGTATTGTAAGACATTATTTTGTAAGTAGCAGTTAAACTTTCTCTTTCAAAAGGGCAGAAATTACAATGCCATTTATCTCCCCTTCTTAATTCATTAAACTGGTATTCTAATTTCATAATTTCATACTATTTATTCTTTTGTAAAATATAGGCATTGAATTTTTCTTTGGTTATTCCTTTTACTTGACTAACTTTGTTTTTTACTTTGTTAGTTGAGAGTTTAAATTTGTTTTCTCTCCTTGGTAAAACTGGTAGTTCTTGAAGTTGCTTGTCTGCCAAATAATTCTGCCATGCCACAGTGTTTTCTAGCAGTTCTATTTTTCTCAAAGCTTTTTTGATTTTCTTTATAAATGAAACTAAAGGAATCTGAACTATGTCAGGTTCATTCAGTAAAACCTTTAACAATGTTTTCAAGGGTGAATTCATTACTAAAAATAGCTTTCTCAACTCCATTTTCTTTTTGAACCTTTACTCATTCATCTCAAGCTCAAAAATGTTGTTGTAAAGTCATT